CCCCAAGAAAAACCTATGGACACGCGCTTGATTGGGTATAACTCATAGTGTTAACATCCACTTACCCAACCTACGAATAACGATGCTAAGAGTACAAAGGGACTTGTTGATATTCTTCGTCTCCGATAGGTAGCACCGACTTGGAAGGTTGTGAATCTTTTCACTAAAGCATAAAGAGGACGCATGCTTTCAAAAAAATCGTTCTAGAATTTGAATATTTTTTAGTAACAAAATAAAATTATGATATTTAATGGATATTTAAAAATGTACTCATTAATGATAAATTAAGTGAAAATGTAATAAACATAAAATAAAAATAAATTTGTCAAAATAACTAATACGATAAACATAATTAAGATTAAAATAAAGTACTTTAAGTATAAACTGGCTCAATACATTTGTCAAATTTTAAAATCAAGCTAAAAAATTTGTGATAGATTGCTTTACTGGTCAGGTAGAAGTCCTGACAATTTATCAATTTAGAAGGAAGTGGTGAAATGATCACTTCTATTTCCCTCTTTCCTTTACGCTGGAAAAGCTTATTAGCACGGTTTAATAATTAGATTTACTAATAAAATGAAGACGTCGATTAAATGAAAAGCATATAATATTTTTCAAATTAAAAACACTTGAACATCGAGTAGGAAAGTGAAGCAAGCTTCCCATTACTTTGACTTTAGTCTGAACATGCAGTAGTCACAATTTTCGACCTAAATAAACTCTTTGGGATGACTGAAACTATGTGGTTCGACTTGCTATGAGTACCATCATGTTCGCCCTACAGCCTGAATCTAATCCTTTAGAGTTCACCATTTTGAAGGTGAGCAGGTAAAGGTGAATCTCTCCCGTCGTCTCTCAGACGTTTAGAGCAGTTAGAAATTTTCTCATTGTCATGCTAACACACTATCGTCTTCTTATTGAGATTGATATAATTCCTTTCTGTATTGTTACTATGCATTAAAATCTAATTTACTCATAAAATGAAGCAACTCTAGGTAAATATAAGGCCCTTAAAATACTTAGGCCTTATTGCAAGCATTAGGTGACTTCCGTTCGGTATTGAAGAATGACAATTTTTCGTGTGATCATTGCATTTGCAATCAAATACCGACGCGCAACAAGGCTAACAACCAAATACCGCATCTGCTCATTTTAGCATTTGTTTAAAATATTTACTTATTTTTAAATTGGCTGATTATTGTGTTATGTCCAGAAGATGGAGAAGGCTTATCATGAAATGATCTATTCACCTTTCCTTCAGGTCTCCCTGAGTATTCCACAAATATTCACTCATACCTAAGTGCCAATTGGTGGTTTTCAATTTGTCGCCAGTTAACGAACAATCGACTTGCAGCCACACAATTCTCTTCAAGTGTCTGCATCCGTACCTGGGTTGCCAGAGCTCATTACTGACGTTTTCCTCTGAAATCATAATTCCTTTATTTTCTTATTTATATCTTGAGAATAGCTGCTGTATTCTGGGAGGAAGATCAATGGTTTTGCGAGGCATAATTTAAACTTTACTTAGCTAACACGAGTGACACTACATCAGAACATATGGAAGTCTTTGTTTGAGAAATGTAGTTAGAACAGTACCGCAAAAATATAGGCAAAATCGAAGAACATTTACCTTCCGAAAGCACAGTTAGAGTGTGAGCATGCGCACTCATGTAACATACCAGTAATTTGACCAGAAATAATGCACGATAACTGAATTACTGTTTTTTATTGCAAAAATTAGAAGAATAAGGAAATTTATAACTTTAAGTCAAATATATCATCACCCTCAGCTGTCTAAGAAGATGACAAATAAGTGGCTTGCAAATTATGGCAACTAGCATGAATTTGCAGAAATGAAACCTTTGAATCCCTCCCTTCTACGTGGGGAAAATGTGGTACAATTTTTGAAACAAACTATATCAAAGTGATTTTTTAACATTTTTCATCAAACTACCTTCTTTAACTTACCGTTTTATAACAAGAACGCGATTCTCTCACTCATGTGAGCCATAGTTGAACCCAATAAATTCCAGATCTTACTGATCTGAACAACATTTAAATCTAGGCCTCTAAGTATCCGTAATTTTACCTAATTTAATTTTGTTTAAATCTCTTTTCCATCTGGAAATATAATATTCCTAATATTTTAATAAATTTTATCATTAGTTTTCATAATGTCTAAATAGTTTCGCTTTACTGAATGATAAAGAGATGTTCATTCATCTCCTTTTAATGCATTCGAATTCATTTTAAATGAACTGGAAGGTCGAAGAATTCTCCCCAATTCCCATCGTCTATCTACGTCATTAGCCAATTCCTTATAAGTAAAACAACATAGCCCACTCGTTAAAACAAACTAATTATTGATTTAAAAAAATTAATGTCCATATAAATTTGATCATTATAAATTCGCTAACAGTGATACAAACATTCTGATGTTAGGTGAATCGAAATTTAACATTTTATTAACTTGAAGGTAGTTTTCTTCCCACTTGATAGACCCCAAAATTTCATTAAGTGGAAAAATAGTGGAAAGATCAGTAGGTGACTAAGGAGAGCAAGGCTACACACAATTTTTGCTTTGGGATGGATAAGGAGACCATTTAGGAATTCGTGCAAGGTTCAAAGAGGATTTCAATCTATATTGCTTTGTACGCAATCCTTGGACGACTAAACTAGGCAATTTCATGTTCATTCGAACAATTCTAGAGTGTGCGATCGTGCACGCAAATGACTTCTCAGCCAATCAGCTATTAATGTTAATTTAAGTTATGTTAAATAACTAATCACGTGTATCGTGGGCATAATTTCACTAAACGCTGCGCTCACTTCACGTATTCCTTTTCTTTAACATTGAGATAACTTAATTCATTCCGAGATCTTTGTCAAATATGGATATTTGGTCATTGAGATTACTGAGGTTAAGTCAAGGGTTATTCGCGTAGCATTCAGCTGCAATGTAAAACGTGACGACTTGTTGCATTTTTAACCATTTTCGCCTTCGCTCATTCCAATCTCTAAATATAAATATATTAATCTCTTGTGGGTATTTAGAGAAAACTGCTTCTTTTGATTCGAAATAAAATTTTTACTTGAGACTAGCTAAATACGCTGTGAGCAATATATTCCGTTAAAATGTGTCACAACTAACCTTCCAGCGAGGTCAATTAGGTGCAATTTTGATTGAAGTGTGACAGCACCGGAAACGCCTTGAATAAGCTGAAAATTTGCAAGAAAATATTCACAAAAATTCAAAAAACATTGCCACTTTATTTCAGCAACTCAATTTTAGTGCAAAGAGTCACTGCTAATTTATTTAATTTCGATACTTGAGTCATATTCATTTTGAAAAATGCACTTTGTTTATAGCTTAAATTACTAACCAATTTAGATCTTCCATTTTATCTTAACGTCTACTCTGAGTCTATTTAAGCAAGTTAATTCCGAAGAAATCCATTTTTATAATGATCTATTAATATAATTACTATTGTTTATGGGCAAATTTTTCGACGAAACTTAAATTTGCACAATTACTTAAGCGGTTATTGACGTGATGAGTCCTTCCGTAAGTAAAATATAATCCTATGTTTTGTTTAAATCTTAGATAATTCAAAGATGAATAGAGAGTAAAAAACTCGAGTCTTGTCAATCTATTTTCACCCGATCTGTTTTCAAAAAGAGGTAACTTAAAACCTGTTTAAGTTTAGAGAATTATGCTAAATGAGGGGAATTTAAACAAATGCATCACTCTGCATATGCTTATAGACCTTAATAACAATGAATAGAACTCTCAAAAGAATTTTAAGCCCAGTTAGAACACATTTTCCAACTCTCATCTTCAGGTAGCATCATTGGATTCGTCTGTTGAGAGTGACCAATCCAAAGCGAATATCCGACCACGTTGCAAGACCAACGCTGATTAACGCTAAATCCATGTTCTTCAGCTTTGCAAACAAGCACATTGATCATGACTATACCAGCACTTTATTTCAATATCCTGCTTGAATTATCGATACTCTTTTACCAAGTAATGAAACTTCCGTTAAGTTTAGCTGGTGCGTATATAATTACATTATCAATAAATCATAGATTATAATGTGGTTAATAAAGCTGGATGAGATTTATGTTTTAATTTACCTGATTAATATAGATTGTAAACACCGAGTGACTTCGACTACTTTTGGGGTTGGCCAACGTTTCAGCAGTGGTCCTAAAATACAGGACACATTAAAACACAGAACAAATGTGTCACTTATTATGACAGAACCCCTGGACTTGCCTTGAAGCGATTCCTCGATCAATGAGACGTTGAACTTCATCAGAATTTGAGATAACATGCATTGTAAGATCTAAAGAGATTTTAGAATCGTCCAAAATCTAGTAACATACTTTCTACGTACGGTCCATTTCTTGGGTGCTCGCGTACTCGAAGGCTGGATTTATCCTGGTTCTCCTCATCACTGAAATATGCCAGAAGATCGTAGACGTGTTCATTGTAAATTTCGTAGAAGCTTTATTATAGACGAAAATTTAATTAATAAATACGGAGATTGACTTTTTGCTATCAAACAAGTCAAATCGATTTGCATTCGAAAGAAAATTCTTCTGAAGAAAGCCCAACTTCTCGGACGTTATGCCCCAGAATTATTATAAACTTACTGCAAAGTTTTGTTGAATTTATTACATTACTTTTCATCAATTAAGGGTTAAAATAATTATTTCAAAATAATTTCAATTAATATTAAAACTTCGTATAAAATGAATTGGTTACCATAAGTTTACCCCAAAAAAAGGGGTATGGATATTTCGCTTTGGCAAAAGATTAAAAGAGGAGATATCTTCTATTACTAGAATTTGATAATTAATTGATTTATTGATTACCAGTGAGTAGATTTCAACTCATAATTAAGTTCAAACACATAGGACACCCATAGCAATAAGATGCTAACCCCATTTCAGATCTTTGTTACCTACTATCCCAAACTGAAATTTAAAAATTAATCAATTGCGTCATTCTGGTAAAGGTTAGTATTTACCTGATCTATTTGAGATTTGAAATTGCTCATTCAGAAATTAGTGTTGACTTCAGTAAAATTTTAAATATGGCTAATAACTTCAAAGTCTAAGTGCAGAGTGTTAGTTTATTGAGTATCCAAGGTAAGAAACCATAAACCCGCCACTTCCTCTACTATTCAGGATGGTCTCTAACTTCGCAGGTAAGTACACTGGCAAACATCGTCACCAACAGCACGGAATTTGTTTCAGTGCTATTTTTTGTGAGAAAATATTCGCAGTTTCTTCTTTAGGAGTTTTGTTCTGCTCTGTTCTGTTGCGAGAATTAATGTTATATTCTATCGTGAACATTTTGACAAATTAGAAATTTGTCATTGGATTGTGAGGATATCGCAATATGCCCAAAGACAGTTAACTAACTATTTACGTATAAATTAGTATTACACTGAACGATAGCAACTCATTAGACACTCAATTTATGGGGAAAAGGAACGAATAAACGTCCCACTGGAACTTTAAAATCATCTCTCAATGTCACGCAAGCATAATTACAGTTATTTAATTGATTTACAACTTTATATCAAATTGAATTATAAAAAACAGGAGAAATGAGTTAACTAAGTTAATAAAATGTTCATTGAATCTAAATATTTGATCTATTGAGAAATTAATAATTATTTTAAATGATTCTAACTGCGTCATTAGTCGTCACTTCTTATTTAATTTCAACTAAATTGTTGTGAGAATAATTCCCTAATTGCACACTAAATCAGACATCACAATACTAGAAGATAATCTTATTTTAGTTCTTCGTTTTTAGTGTGTAAATTAATTAATTATCCTGCTAAATTATTAAATGTAAAACAAAAATGAATTGGATATTGTGTGCATGTTTTCATAAATGTACATGTTATTCATTTGTTTTGGAAATACCTATTACAATATATTCCTCTGGAAAGCTTACACTCAAATTGTTAAGAGTAGCGTTTAGTGCTCAGAAGACACAATTGAGAAATAAATTTTTCATAGAACTTACTTCCATCTACTGAGCCTTGTTATTTTGAAAATGCCTTCGTTGGTACATCTTCACTTTCAGCAACATGCAAATTAATCCAAGTTACGTAAGCAGACATTTGATAAATCACCTTGACCCGAATATGATTGACATTCCATGGTATTTCATGTGACAAATCATAAGTGAAAAGTTTAGAACACTCAAACATCATATCCCTTTTGGGAAAATTAAACAGCCTAATGCCAACATTGAACCAAAGCCTGACTCCATAAAGTACATCTTCACTATGTACTCTAATTCCACTAGCTGTTTCATCTCATACGAAATTATTTTAATGTTTCCCGAGTCCTGGTGTACTACTGTGCAAGCCTGTTCAATAATAGAAGCAAGTTCCTTAACAAAACTACGCTTTGTGAGTATGTATTTGAAACAAATTTTTCATTGTGAATCTATGTAACAGTCCAACAATTAGGAAGTCGCAAAATTTTTAAAATAGGGCGATTGGCAAGTCGATTCGCAAAAAAATGGAATTTTAGAAAATGAAATGCAAAAAAAAATTTCACGTCAACGAAATCAACACATATGACTAAATTTAATGTGGCATTACTTATGAAATGTAGGTAATAGTTTATCAAGAAAGTAAAAATTATGTTTAGATACTCCTCAGTTATGCGAATTTTGGCATCTAACTGGCATTTGAGAAACTCTGCACAGTAATCTTCAGAATAATCAAAGTCAATTTTAAAATTGTGTCAAGATCACACTTTGGTCTCAAATACGGCCCGATTCGAATGTGTTGCCAAGCAACCTCAGTGTCTAAGCTTTTAGTTAACATGTGATAATTAAATATGCACAAGATTAATGACTAAATGTGAAAGTTCCCAATGGGTAAAAGAGAGCATTACCTGACTTCGAATGATGTTTCAGTAGGCACTTTTCCAGTGTCATAATCGAAAAGAGCCTAAATAAATGATCGAAACATTTCATTCGGACTTACTTTACAGCATTGCATTACAAGACCGGGAGCGCTCTATTAATACACTAAATTAAGTTTAAATATGAAAGCTTAATACTTTTGTTCCAAATATTGTATATGTTTTTCCCGTTCCCGTCATTCCATAGGCAAAAATACTACAATTGAATCCATCAAGACATTCATGAACCGCCTTTAAACCGATGCTTCGAAAAACCTGTAACGTGTTTTTAAATAATAATAAGCACCTCATGTTGGCTCTCAATTAAATTATCCTTTGGGCTAAAAATAAAGTCGAAAGTGTAGTGCCGAGGAGAAGGTTCGACTAAAAACGACTATAAAAAAAGATATATTAAAGTCAAAAGAACTCATACCGGTTGAGATCTTGGATTCAAAATAATAACATCATTTGAGTGCACTTTGAGAATGTCTATAGTGCAATTTTCGTCCTCATTTTTCGCTTGAAGTCTGTTTATAAAAATAATATAAATATATTCGTACCGAGGCAAAATGCGCAAGGCCACACAGAGACTTGTCATATCTGAAACAAGAAAATTAATACGTAAACCTTTGAATTTATAATTTTTGCACAAATAATTGAATCATAGTTTTTACAAAGAGCAAAATAAAATCAAGCAGGTGCTAATTATTTAAAACACTAGTTCAAATCAAATAAATTAAATTGCATAAATTGTATCTTTAATGAGCATTTTAAAATTTATTCAATTTAAAAATAATAAAGAACACTCGGCGTCATAATTTGAAAAGAAGCAAATAATAAACAACCTTCACGGTTAGATTTGTAACTGTTTAAACACATATTTTTAAAATTAAATATGTTTCCTAAAATTTTACTAAATATGAATGAATGACTTGAATATAAAGGTTTTATAGTAAACAACATAGATTTCAATTTTATTTTTTCTCAAAACATTGAGTGTTAATTTATTTACAGTCTCTGATATGCGTGAATCCATTTATAAATGTATACCTAATTTCAAATTTAAATTCCTCTTGACTATTATTGTTTAAGAAATCCTAATGAGTATATTCAGTCGAACAGGAGATTTTTGAACTAATTTTTGTTGTTGTCATGTGTATTTTAGTTTACGCGTTTACTGGGTAGCTAAACGCAAAGAATAATTTCTAGTTATTTATAAACTCCTCAAATTCACGTGTTCATATTTAAAATTCGTATTAAATACTAATATGAAATTGAATCAAAATTTTCCATTTCTGCACAGAAAGCTCGATTAAAGGCCTCCTTATATAGGTGAGATATTAAGTGTGAGATATGATTGTATAGCACTGAATATTTAGGCCAGGTTATCCATAGGATAAGAGTGTAAACACCTAGCATTTTGCAAGGCTGAACCATTTCGATATCACTTAATACATAACCTCCCTTCTTTGTTCCATAAACGACCAGTCAGATTATATGGAATGCTTGCTGAAAATGAAAGATATTTTTCTAAAAATAATGACTCATAAATGGTATTTCGTAATTCAGGATCTGAATTTTTTGATGCCGTAAACAAACTTATGATACCCCTCAAAAGTTACAATTTTATATCCAACAATAATTAATCATTGTGGATCACAGACCGGCAACTGTAATTAAACCACACAAAATACTAATAGGAGATATAAGAAGTGAGAGCGAATGCAAGCTTGGATTGCAAACGATTGTTAATATTTCGATAACTAATTCAAACACAATTATACTTATATATATTATATAACGATGCTTAATAACTGGAAAAATTCGAAAAAATTTCGGATTTTACCATTAAAAAATGCATACTCTTTTTACAGCAATTAAGAATGTTATTGACTAGATTTGCTTGAAAATTATTCAATCAACATTTATTAAACGTGCTTATTTCCAGCAAATGCCTTAGGATAATTTTGTCACTAGCCAAACTTCATAAGAAACATAGCAATAAAGAGGCACAGCATGAATTTTTTTATTTAATTAAATGGGATGCCATTTTAATAGATATTTCAAGGCCATCCTGATTTTTCCATAAAGATATTTTATTTTAAACATTCTTGCTGCTTATTGAATGTTTCAGTTATCAGGACAGGTATTTATAAGCAAATTATATCGCCAAAATGAAGCTAATTGAATGAATGTGACATCAGAGCCAACTGCAGAAGCAGCTGAAAACACTTAATTAATTTCGAATAGTTTTAACTTTATGTAACTTGCTAAATTAAGCAGTATTTTAAAACGCATTTTTGTTGGTTTATGTTTTTTGTAAACGCGGAGCATTCAGTTGACCTTAATCGTAGTAATCGCTATTTTATTCGACATTAGGTAACTTAGACTTCCTATTATCATGGTTACTCCCAAAGATATTTATCTTCTCTTTCGATTTATTCGTTTCATTAGATGTCTCAAACTGACATGCCGGAGCCTCCCGCGGATCCACATCGACGGGATGTTATTGATAAATTAGCTCAGTTTGTTGCTCGAAATGGTCCCGAGTTTGAGCGCATGACCATGGAAAAACAACACGGTAATCCAGATTTTGAATTTCTTTCTGGGGGAGAGTTCTCGGATTACTATAAACACAAGGTTGAGGAATTCAGAATGACCGTTTCTCATCACCCTAATGAGGCTATGTCACACCAACAACCATATCACCATAATGCAATGCCACATGTAAAATCGTATTATTTTTTACCACTAGCTATCTTATTTTTGGTGTTTTGAATCGCATTCCTGATCTTTTTGCAGCAGCAATGGGGTGGACCGCCTTTTCCAGGTCAAGGTTGGAATGAATGCGATGATAATTGGAATAATCCAGGTTGGCAATATCCACCAACCCAAGGTAACTGGGGCCCTAATTGGGGACCTCAAAATGGACCTCCACCACACTGGTACAATAATCCATATCCTCCAAACTTCTATCCTACCGGCCCTTATCCCTCCCACCAAGGTTCCCAATTAACAGAGGATGATGTAAAACGCAGTGAAATGAATTTGAAAGCTCAATACGACAAGATTATTGGTGAAGAATTACCCATAGCTATCAAACAGCGTTTGGACAGAGCTCGCATGGAAGCATTTATCGCTTCCGCTGCAAGATTGTCCTTTAACCCCGAGGAAATTTCCGCAGCTATTCAACCGATAATAGAAGCCTGTACAAAAGAGAATATTGCTCGTGGAAAGAATTTTTCTGTGGAGACAATGTCGAAAAGCGATGGCCATGCCAATCTTCTTGCGGACTACCTCCTTCTGCGTGTTCAAGCTTCTGAAGCTTCATTCGAGACACGATTGTACATTATTTATCTCATAAATGATCTTCTTCACTACCTTAAACGTCATCCAGATACTGCTCATTTCTTGCCACCTCTTAGTCGAGTTGTGGTTCCTATTTATGCGCTAGCACTTGATTTGGCTAGTGAAGAAAAAAAGGAAAAGTTAACTCGTGTGCTCAATCTTTGGGAATCAAATTCCTATCTTACTACTGATGTGCTGAAAAATATGAAGGAAGAATCGGATAGGAAGGCATTTATGGATGCATGGAATGTTGAGCAAGATCAGGTGATTTCTTCTTTATTTTATTTAATCCTCTTAATGCTCTATCGCTCAATATTTACAATTTTATTATTATTAATGGGAATTTGAAAAAAAACACTCATTTTATAGTGCATTTTCCATATGACTTAGCTCCACGTTACTATTTTAGAATAGAAACAGGAATAATTTATTGTAATAAAATGTAAGATATCAACTTACTGGATTCTAATTTTACTTTGTTTATCTTGTTTTATCAATTACCCTTGTGTTCTAATCTTTGGCTAACTTAGCTTAACTCATGTTTATTTAAATTTATTCTTCATTCCTTATATAGGATATCGATCTTTTAGTTTATCACACTTTGTGCCTTGTTGCTAGTTCGAACCAAGTTTCTTTATCGGAACAGTCACTTCTACTCTGCTTATCTCTAACGAAGTCGCATTGTCAATAGGTCTTTCTCTTTAACTGCTCAAATTCGAGAAATTAGTGGTCTAATTCAGTACTGATTTGAAGTCTCTCATTTTGTCCTTGATTAAGCGATTCCCACGAAATAGTTGGTACTTATTAAACATTTCTAAGTAACTGTTTAGTTTGCCAACATCAGTTCCTTATATTCTTTACTTCTTCGTGATTTTTTTGTTATATATGCACGTTATTTATATGATTAGAAGAAATTTGTCATGTTGAACGGAGGCATATAACTTAGAGAGAAGGTAAGTGAAATTTGTAAAGTCCATCTTCAGGGGTCAAATTTGCCTCGTTTCACCTTCCTGGCGATTGATTACAATTTTACTGAACAAAAATATCAAGCTGTTTGTAGTAGAAGGAAGTTCACTTCTGGGTTGGCCTCCTGATCAAGTTGTAAGGCCTAAGTATTCAGGGCGTTCTTGTGTTCATTCACTTCATTCAGAAGTTCTCAAGGCAATTGTAAACTTTATATTCATTACTTGAAATTCTCCACTGATTATCTGTCTTGTGTCTGTTAGGTTCGAGAAAATAATTGCCTCTTTCCTTGTAGTTATATGCTGAAAAAGTTGCCCAAGTCGAGGCAGAACACCAAGCTCGTTACGAGTCTTTGAAGAAACAACACGATGACTTTGCTGACCACGTCCGCAAGTCCCTATCAGCTCCATTACCAATGGAGCCCGATTCACGTCACTATGGGCCACCTCTTCCACCTGGCTTTAATAGTAGACCTCCTAGCTGGGGCCCTTCGGGTGGTTATGATGGCCCCCCAATGCAGTGGCATGGACCCCCACCCTTTAGGCCAGGCCCACATTCCGGTCCGCCGGATCGATGGCGACGCGATATGCCCTACAACTACCCTCCAGATGATGATTATTATGATGGGAGACGAAGCGGTCCCCAATATCGAGGTGGTGGCCCTCATAGGGATCGATACCGCCGAGAGGGGAGATTTGATGAACCACCCTCCTACTATGAGCAGGACAGACCGTCCTATCGTAATCGACGTCGATTTGATAGTGACGGGTCTTCCGATAACCCTCGTCCTCGTAGAAATAGTGAAGAGGTTCAAGAAAACTGCCCCCCTCCTATGAAGGAAGAAGACCTAGTTCCCAAGGTCCCCTTTTGGCAATTACCTGCTGGTCTTATGCACCCCTTGGTTAAGGCAAAAGACTTTGACTTTATCCCTCTAGACCCATCAAAGCTCCGATTATTGGCTCCTAAACCCCCTTCAGAGCAGTTAATGCAAGCAATAGACGCCTACTACAGTCAACCCTCTCATGATAGACCAAGAGATCAAGAGGGTTGGGAGAGGTTAGGCCTCTACGAGTTTTACCGGTCGAAAGAAGATGCTAAAAATGGAAAGACAAGTGGGTCCGAATCGCCGAGAGATGATGATGATTCTGACGATCGAAAAAATGGATCAGAAGGGTCCCGCAAAATGGCTTATCTTACTGCTTATCCTAAATCGGCTATTGGTCAGGCAATTAGAACGGGACCTGTTGCCTTGATTGGTGTTCCTCCTCCCAATCTTCTACTACCCAAAATGAATGCACAATTCGCTGCCTTAGCGGCTGCAACTGCAATCAATAATGCGGAGTTGAAACAACAACAGCAACAATTGGCGCCGCCTGTTCCGCCCACTCCCAGCATGATGTCACAACCACCTCCGGGGATGGTTCCATCCATACCACCAACTTCATCATCGACGATGAACAACAATCAGCAACAGCTTGTTACCTCCAGACCAAGTAGATTTACTTCAGCTGCTATGGCTTCACCGCCTTCAACTAGAGGGGCTGGTTTCAGGAGGTCTAGATCGAGATCTAGGTCATATTCGGGGTCAAGATCGAGGTCAAGATCGGATTCTAGGTCGACTAGGTAAATTTTGCGATGTTATTTTTCTGTTCTTATAAAGTATTTCGCGTGCTCACGAAGCTAATCGATCGAAGATTTAGTCCATGGAATTAGGAACAGTGGAGCTCGTCTTGTCATTACTTTCTGGAATATTTAATGCTTGTTTCACTTCTTTTTGAAGTAGTTTAAATCATTAGTGGTCATTAATTAATCTAGTCACGTATGAACCTACAATTAAAATTTATATTATTTCTTCTTAGGCATCTTATCTAATTCAGAGGTTGTATTTTCATTTTACTGATAAATTTTATTATTGATTTTTTTCCTTTCAACTGAATGTTTATGTTGATTTGTGGAGTTCGAACTCAAAGAGCAAGAGTTTCCCTTTTAGCTCTACTTTTGGTTAAAGCAGAGGCATTGGAGGTCATAGAATTTAGCTAGCTAAGTGGCTTTACAGCAGTGACGTTACCGACGCATTCCGGTCCGAAGTCAGTCCACTTTAGATCGAATAAGTTGTCTATTCGTGATAAATCATTTTCCAAAATGTAAAAAAATAATGGTATAAAATGATTGCACCTACTTTCTGTTTCTATTCCAACTCATAGGTCTCGCTCAAGATCATCTTCCAGATCACGTACACTCTCTCGGTCAAGGTCCAGGTCGCGTTCAAGATCCTCCAGATCCCGCACTCGATCACCACCTTCAGAGCGCCGATATCGTGACAGATCGAGGTCACCTAGGAGTGGCAACGAGGGCTCAATAACCACCGCGGGCTACATGCGTCGAAATGCTGTAGGAAGCGGTGGTGGTGACCAAAGAAATCATAATAGAAGGTAAGAGTTGTGAGGGACTTCTGTTTCTTCTAAGCGCTTCTTAAAAATGAGTTCTTTATTATGTGCAGACATTTTAAGGGAATCACTTTTCGGCACTCATATTGAGCAGTGGTATAGGGTTGGAAATCTCATTTCCTCTCTTGTCTATTATTTGTCCCTTTCATTACAATCACTAGCTGTTCATTAACGTTTCTCCATCTCGAGGTTCGTAACTTCTCAGAGCTGGCTATTCAGTATTCTGATAGGTTTTAACCATTTCGCGATACAAAAAGATGACTTGATCGAATTTAATTTTGAATTTCGGAATACCGATTCTAATTCGTCTTTGTCAACCCGAATCTCTTAGGTTCCAATGAGTATCTAAAATTGAATAAATGATTATGGCCTAGTATATGGCACAAGCATATTCAAGTTTTTGCGGAGCGATTTTATTGGATAACAATATGAGCGCTTTGATTACTACTCAATTTTGATAGTGTAAATAAGTTATTAAACAATGTTGCTTTTATCTTAAATTCCTTATGAATGTATTTATCAGTACAGCTGTTTATTAAAGTTACTAAATTTGCGCCAACTAAAAGTACTTGTATTTGAAGTCGAGAGTTGTCAGTAGCCCACGTCTTAAAATATTAAAGATTCGCTCCTCTGCTACTCTTAATTACCATTAGTAAATTCAATTTACCCTCATTTCAGCAGAGGACGTGGGAACAATCGTGACAGAAGGTAAGTTTCCGTCGAGAACTATATGTAAGATTGGCTTGGTTTAGCTTTTGAAAGCCTATCCGTCTTGCTGTTTCAAATGAACTCGTTTCAAAACTCTGCTTTATTAGACAATCGTTATTATTATCAGCTAATGCTTTTATATATGTTTAACTTTTTTAAAGCACAATCTCATTTCACTAGTTTTAGACAAAATAGTAGTTGCTATAAATGGCTTTGCTGTCCGCGGAATAGTGAAAGTCATTCTACGACTTTAATTCGATTCTGGAACAACGTTAGTTCGCTTTTGCTTTATTACTGCCGTCGACTCGGTGGTTATTTTGGATCCTCTTGGCAGTTTTTTTTAAATTTTCAAGTCCATTTAGGAATGTCTTTACGCGCTTTCTGGGCTAGAATTATCCTGTGCGTTTGAACATTTACTAATAAACTTCGATCTCTTGGCAGAAGTGCGCGTGGATCGCTGAATTGTCTTTTTTCTATTCTCCAGTTTTGTTGTTCATCAAATATGCCTCCTTTGTTTCTATCCGTATGTCTGTTAAAAGGAGAAACAAAGGAACCATGCATTGGTTTAATAGCGTTGACTCATTTAATTAGCAGTGGTCGCCTCAATCACATCAGAGTACATTTCTCTAAGGTGTTGTTGAGGGTTTGGGTGAAGGAGACAAGAATAGTATTGTTCGTTTTTTTTGAAACAAAAGGTTGTTTATGTGTATGTGTTTAGAGACATTAGTATCAGGAAAATAGCCTTGCTTTGATAGGCGAAGCTTGTGGGTCTGTCGTGTCACCTATTTTTAAGGGTTTTGCAGTGTGTAACTATTATACGAAATTCTGTTTCACCGAAAAACCGTTTCAGTGTCATTTAACCACCGGCTTATTTAGAGAAGCATTTTCAAGCACTTATCCCGGGTAGAGAAGTAACATCAATGGAAACGAATCCCTGACCCCCAACTTCACACCCAATAGTGTTAATCACTTCACCTCTGGAGTCCTAACCAGTGTTTTAACAAGCAGTTTATGATGACTGTTTGGTTACACGATTCTAGGGAGAGAAACGCTGATCAATATGATAGATCGCCGTTGGTACCTTTCCATTTTGTTCTTTTGTGTTGTATGGTCTCTATTTTTGGTTGTCTACTCACCACACGGCACTAAATGCAATTAATTTCAAGAATGTTTCTTTTGCCAAATTAGGTAGAATTAATCATACGTTTCTTTTTATTATTTCTGTATGTACTTTCTTCTCCTTTCAGAGGTGGAATGGGTGGAAATAACTACGCGCATCCTCCCTCGCAACAACAGTGGGATTATGATCATGGAGCTCTTCCACCTCCACATATGATGTCACCCTATGATAGAAGAACGGGGCATCCTCCACCTGGACCAATGTACCCGGTGAGTTGAACCTTTCTTCGTGCACATGCCACTGTGAGGGGTTAAAGTTATCAGGTTGGGGGGCACTTATGCCTGTTAGCTAATGAAATCCTAATTCGATTTATCGCTTGTCTACGATAAAGTTTAGGAATTAATGTAAGGCAAAGTCAGAAATGGACAGGGTGTTAGAGGTACTTGATAAAAAATTTTCATGAATTTGGATGAAATTATAGCCTACGAAATCCGAGGTTGTTCATTGTGCGATTTTAATAGGGCAAGTTTTGGTTGCAAACTCATATCGAAGGAAAGCACAGTTGTATTCATTATTTCAATCTGCTTTTATCCTAGCCCTTTGGTGGCGGTGGTGGCTTCCGTGGCAACAATTATACCGCCTCACCCCAATCTCACCAAATGGGCAATGGTCCCCGCGGTGGTGGTCCCCCATTCTACGGTGCAGGCGTTGGTGGTGGAAATTCCTATGGTAACCCTAATAGACGCGGTTATCAAGGCCGATGATGCCAATGAGGATGTTAATAATGTTAATATATAATGCTACAAATAAATTTGCCGCATTTGTCAATCCCCCTCCCCCCCCCCTCCCTCCCTTTTCATTATATACGTCGTTTAATCGAATTTCCTATCCTTCTTTTTCCCCATTCTGCTTTTGTAGTAGAATAAATTGTCCATAATGTTGTATTTTTATTGACTATTTTCTTTCCTTCTGATTGCTTGCTTGCGTAATGTGCGTAGATGTGATTGGTTAATCGTACCTGCTTTGGTCCTTCAGTAATCGGGGAATGGTTAGAGTATGTGTGGTTGGTTGTCTTCACGGCCAATTAGATCAAGTCTATACGGATATTGAGACGATGGACAGAGAGGCTGGTGAAAAGACGGAGTTGGTGCTCTGTTGTGGTGACTTCCAAGCTATTCGAAATCCGGCAGATCTACAATCACTTTCTGTTCCTGCAAAGTTCTATGAAATGGGAGATTTTTATAGGTATGCTCTTTACAAGTTACATCCTTCAGGCACCAAACATTTGAATTACTGTCGTGTCACCTTGTTTAATAGGTACTACTCAGAAGAGATTTCAGCGCCAATATTGACTATCTTTGTTGGAGGAAATCACGAAGCTTCAAATTACCTTCAAGAATTACCGTATGGAGGGTGGGTTGCTCCAAATATTTGGTATATGGGTAAGTCAACATTTTTTACCATGAGAACTATCACTCTTTTGTTCACTTTGTCTTGTTGTTTAAGTCAATTGCAAAGAATGTAGGCATGTTCATATATAATGTGCGATATATGTTTTAATTTTGGAAGCATAATATTTGATCTTTGCGGTTAGATCTATTTTTCGGTGGCATAGCGGTCATTGCCTTAATATTGCGTGAGCAGAAGACCCTAGGATTTTTCTCCTCTCCCCATTCATTCTCCATTCATTTCGCTTCAACAGTCTCGTCGTACTACATAATAATCGACAGTTCGTCATGGTGTCTAATAACGACAGACTTAACGAAAATTTTGGTTTTTTTTATTTTGTTACACAGTAAGCCATGAATTATGAAGATTGTGTTCAGTGGATTTCTCAGGCAACTCTCGTGGCCTGTTTTAAAGAAGGAAGTTTTTGAGAAAAGTTTTTCCAATTCTCTCACCATAAAACTTTTTTCATTTCTTTGGGTATCAAGGGGAACTTGAACAATCCTTACACAAAGTAAGGGCTAATGCAAATCGATCAAGATGCTTAGACGTTCCTCGGCTTGATTGGTATATGATGACTGAAATGAGTAATGGCGATCGCTCTCCCTAAAGGCTAGAATTACCCACCTTAAAGCCATGGATGGAAATTGTTTATTCCACTCTATCATCTGAACCACTTTTCTCCCCCAAGTAAGACTTCTAGTGCTCAATACTCCGGTGCTCTTGTCAACATTTCATCTCTTTCGTTACTATTGCATTCAATCACAGCCACTTCAACGAATCTCTTGAAAGGGGGGGGGGGTACAGTCCATATTCTTCTGAGCAGTGAGTAAAACTGGAAATATCGAATCCCGTGGAAAAAAATTTTCCTACTCATTTTTCTCCAGGTTTATGCTCGCAGCTAAGGTTCTGCATCCAATTAGTAGTGTCCGATCTCATTCAATCTGTGACACGTGGTTTAGACGTCAACTCGGATTACTTGTGTTTTAAAATCCATCTCATTTCTTTGCCTTTCAGGTTACGCTGGAGTTGTTCAGTTTAATGGTCTTCGAATCGGTGGTCTCTCGGGTATCTACAAACTCCACGACTACAGCCTTGGACATTACGAGCATCCACCTTACTGCGAGGCGACTAAGCGCTCCGTGTATCACATCCGAAACCTGGAGGTCTTTCGCCTCAGTCAGGTCACTCGTCGATTGGATATCATGTTGAGTCATGATTGGCCTCGGGGTATCTATCATTATGGTGACAAGGAGAAGTTACTGCATTATAAAAGGCATTTCAGAATGGAAGTGAACAATAATACCCTGGGAAGTCCACCTGCTGAACAGCTACTATGTCAATTAAAACCGAGGTACTGGTTTGCGGCCCATATGCATGTCAAGTTTCCTGCGATTGTACAGCATGAGGTTAGTTAAGTCTACTAGAATGTATGCTACTGAGACGTGTGTTGTGGGACAAAACGCCTCACCTTTTGCTGATTTACAAACATTCCACTTACATAAATGAATATTGATGGTGATTTATGGCAAGCTGATAGGATTTCATTCAATCTTATTAGCGAAGTAGACTCCTTAACGTTCCAATTCTAAAATGTCTATTTTTGCTTCTCAATAGATTAAAAGTCGCGTTTATTTATCAATGTGTGTAATAATATTTTTTGTGGCGTAGCTTGACTGGTAAATTACAAGTCTTACAACAAGCTTAAATCAATATTCAGAAGCACGTCAAATTAAATTGCGAGGCAATATTCGATTTACTAAACCTGGTAAATCTTCATTGGGTTTTATATATCCTTTAAATGCCTGGTCACATATCCTTACTGAGCGAATAGCATTTTGTAAAGTATAACACGTCAGCTTTTCCCAAGATCCGAAAATCAAGATCTTAGTTGAACAAATGCGTTCTGAAATCCGACCGGGGAGAGGAGGAAGAAAGGAGCAGTAGGAGATTTGTGGATTTGGAGTGGAAGGCAAAAACGTCAACACTGGTCGAGTGAAATACCTATTGCGATATAAAGAGGGGATGTGTTGATGTGCGTTAAAGTAGTCAACGTATTTCGATGTCTTTGTTCTTTGTTGTAAAAGTCACCAGTCACTGACGACCATAATGCGCACACACAGCAAGCTAGTGTTCAATATCGATTTCGTTTACAATGCCTGTACACATTCGTCTCGTTTTATTTTGTATCTTTGTCAATTTTTTGGAGTATTTCATTCATTATAACTAAATGCTTCGTATTGTATTTTATTTGTTCTTCATAATTTGTTTAAACTCCAGCGAATATTTTGTTTCATAGGCTGTATTGACTTGAAATGTTTCCATGTTCTCTTTTAATCGCGGTTGCCCGCAGAATTAGGCTACTAACCTTAAAAGCTGGGATGATTAGATTACCAACTGACTCACTCCACTAAGTTGTGAGCCCCTATTGACCCAAATGGAACACATCTCATTGAGTTGGAGCGGAAAGAAGCTGTCTTTTTCGAGTATCTCAATGGATGATCCATTTACAAAGAGGGATTTCTATTGCGTACTCTTTCCAATATTTAGGATTGAATGTACAAATCGCACCTATGACAGTGATGCATTGAAATTTTAAACTCCTACATATATATATCTCTCTCTTCCATTTCAGGGTTCTCCAGGCATCCAAACCAAATTCCTTGCTTTAGATAAGTGCTTACACCTGCGCGACTATATTCAGTTCTTGGACATTGAGCCCGATCCGCAGCCTTCCACTTTCAACGACGAAGGTCAAATTGTCGGTGGGGATGGTCCATATGCTCCGATCATCATTTCCAATATTCCTTCGGAAGAGTCGCCTTCCGAAGATTCCATGGCGAAGCTCTTTATCGACCCAGAGTGGTCATGCATCCTTCAATGCACAAACGAATTCCTTTCACTTACACGGATACCTTCTATGTTGCCGGGACAAAATGGAAGCAAGACGTGAGTATTTGCATTTTTTGCAATTTTTTATGATGAATTTCTCTAATTGAAAATAACAATTTTATGAACTTTTATTATATGTACAAGGTAGTGATTGCAACTACCAATCCTTAAATATCCCTTTGATGGCAATGGAGAAGACAATATTAAAGATAGTAGAACCCTATACAGTTTGGCTAAGGCAAATGAGGTGTGACTGCCGGTGGATGTCTTCAATTCCACAAAACGCTTTCATAATAACTTGAGGTGATCGTTTTCTCTCCTAGAAAGTGTTTTAATGTCGCTCCTCTTGAATCCCAAAATAGTGGACCTTTCAGCTTTGAATCTGAGCGATCCAGATGCTCCTTTTGCTTGCCACTCTTTTGTTCGAATTTTGTTTTCCAGATCACCTTGGTAGATCCGGGTTTCATCTCCTTTAACACAGTTCATAAAAAATTATCCTCATTTACTTCCATTTTTGTCAAATTCGCTTAAAAAAGTTCATCTCTTTGTATCAATTGTTGTTTTTCCAACGCTTTTGGAATCTAACGTGCCCACTAAGATTCTGTTCAACTCAAGCTCTTCAGTGAGTATTGGAAATGCTGATGCGGGTTCGTTTTCTACTTCACTGTCTGCATAAGAGAAATGTTTCCTTGATTTCTTGCTCTGGTTTGTCTCCCTCCTCGTGGTTTGTCGTCAAATTACACTCGTCCCTCTTCAAAGCTTTTAATCCAATAATGAATGACTGCTCTACATGGTGCAGAGTTCACATAAATCTGTTTTAAAACTTCTGTAATCCCAGTTTAGTTTATTTAAAAAAGTTATGTTAGCTCTAATCTCAAATTGTGCCATTTGGAGGGTAGAAAACTTGCCAGCTACTTTTGAGATGCAACCTGTCTTGATCCTGACCTTACATAGAATCATCGGACTGGTTTATGTTGTTAAGAATGCTCTGAAAACACCTTTGAACTTGTAAAAGCCTGTAAATATTTGTTCTTTTTAAAATTATGGCATTTTTCTGCGAACTCTTTGACTCTCTCCCTCGTATTAGGGTAAACAGTCATCTTATACGCACTTTAACTTCATGACTTCTGGCTTGTGCGATAGACTTACCTCCACGTGGTGCACCCTGGGCAACGTATACTCGTACGGCAAAAAGTCTATAAACCGGCAGTTGACTCCACACTTTAAACTACCATCACCCCACTGTATGTCATATTCGTCCCCTGCCACAATACTCAGCTGACCTTTCCTCTACCTTTGTGTCTGTCTGACTCTTTCACATCTGTGAATCACTCTTCTCTCCTCCCTCTACACTTGTTGTGGCTTTGA